CTAAGAATCAAACCGAACGCTTTATCGCTATAAGAACTGGCGGGAAGGAGTACTTGAAATATTTCAACTTGGATGATCAACTCGAATATGGTGTCATAAGGTTTAAGACAGATATTCAAGATTTCGATTCTGGGTAAGAGATATTATGGAATCTGGTTAAAGTAGCCTCCAATGAACTATATGCTTACAGCGTTTCATTCTGTCAGTGGTAGAAAAATATGAAGCTACTCTACATGATGACAATGCATATTCCTCTAGTTCCATTGTAACCGCACCATGCAGGAACCTCAGCAATGTTGTTGATTTACATTCTTAATTACAATGTACTACATTTAAATGAACTGTATTACTGATAACAAGATGATACACAATTGACCCCAGCACCAGCAGACGCCAAGGACAACATCTGGTCTTTCTGAGGGACAAGCAAGCTGCAGGTCACTTGAGAACCCAGAACGGAGCAGGAAGTATCCCGCTGTGTTTTCTGGGGATTTCAATGCTTAACTTCGACGGTTCGAGTCTTTGAAAATTTGAGTCTTGACAGATACGAGTCGCAATAATTTTCGAATGGGCGTACCGAGCGATCGTTAGCGTACCTCCATTTATTTGAGAGCTGTCAGAGGGACCGTGTTGTACTTAGGCCCAAATTAACATGGATCTGGTTAGGGATTGGCTGAATGCAAATGAGAGAAACACCCAAATTTCAGGTTCAGCCAATCAGCAAAATTTCAGAGGAGAGGAATCCAGGCGTTCCCGGAACCGTCGGGACTTCTGCCTCTCCAGAGCAGTCAGTCATCAGAAGGAAATAGCGGGAGTGAGTCACACAAGGCAATAAGAGCAGTCAGTCTTTACAAGGGAATAAGAGCGGTTAGTCATGGACAGTGAGTAACAGGAGTGAGTAGCCAAAGGGAGTAACAGTAGTAACCTCCCGGACGTTAAATTGGTGTACAAAGTCCAAGTGCTACGGCCTCGTAATGTGTAACTCTAGTGAACACCTACAGTAAAAGCAACAGTGTTGGTGAAGTGCGAGTTTTTTTCAGTGTTCTCTCTCTCCTTGTGTGAGCAAGGCCCAGAAGTCGCCCAGAGACAGAATCCAGTCCTACCTTCTGAGCAGTCGGAACCCCAAACGCCCGCCTATCCATATCCCCACCTTTGTTTTCCCCGTTCCAAACTCGTGGATTTCACCCAAGTCCACTGGCGCCCATAAAAATTCAAGTATTCAGAGCAATCCCACACCCTACCCTGAATCAGACAGCTACAAGGAAGCGGCGGATGAAAGTGCAGACCACAAAGGTGCGAACGTGAAGGGCAGGTATAAGTGACGACCAACTCGTGGGCTTGAAGTCTAACTGAGCGGTAAGGACGACGAAGAGGAGGGCCGTAAGACCATGTTCAGATCCTTGCTGGTTGTCGGCTGGGTTGCAATTGACTCGCTTTTCCTGTAAGTCGTTATATATCCTAAATAAATTCCTTAGAAACACCGCTTCATAGAATTTTACACTGTTGACTGACGTCTTAGTATCTTCGGTACAAGAGAAGCACTAGCGAGACCGGCAACTGTGTCTGGACAGCCTACGGTCGCACACACGCGTTTCTGTTTCAAGACCATTGAACACGGGTTCTACCCAAGCAAGAACTCTGTAAGAAATCTGTTTGCGTGTATAATGTACTGGAATTTATATGAATGTCTTATTATTTTTTTTTTATTGCTAGTGGGATGGGACTAAGTCTCATGTACTGCGGCCACTTCTGGTCTCTTGTACCAGCCACAGATGACAGGTGAGGGTGATTATGGAGCAATTGGTGGAATTACGATTGGCAGGGGAAACCGAAGTTCTCGGAGAAAACCTGCCCCAGCGCCACTTTGTCCACCACAAATCCCACTTGACCAGACTCGGGATTGAATCCGGGCTGCCGCGGCGGAAAGCTAGCGACTAACCGCTTGAGCTATGGCGCGGCTCTTTTAAACGTTTTATAGTATTTGTTTTGTCCCTGTTCTTTCAAACCTAAAGAATATTTACCGTGGGTACAGTACGCGAAAATAGAAAACCGTGTCTCAAAGGCTTCTGATATGTGAAGTACAGTCAGTGACCAGCGATTCGCTCATGGGCATGAAGGGGTGTGACGCACAGTATGTAAGAATACTTTCCACCCTTCATTCAGATGAAACTGTGAACACTGGATAGCGTGACTGGAAGCAGAAACAACCTGCCATAAAGCCGAATATGGATTACAGCTGTAAAACGAGTGCAGTAGGTGAGACTGACATGCTGCTGAGCTATGTTCAGTGCATTCGTAAGTCTGTGAGATGGTAGAAGGAGCTGGTATTTGATGCAGCAGTGCCCAATGGATATGCACTCTATCTCACTCACAATGAGAAAGGTGTATCATCTCCTGAATTTCAAACTAGTGTCAACTTAGGGCTTCTGGAAACACACAAAGAAGTACCTCATCTAGAGGCAGATGGTGTACAAGTGGGGACATTTCTCATAGCCTGGCAGACAGTCGCTTCACTTGCCTAGCACAGCTTGTCAACAAAATTCAAAGATGAAGCAGCATGTGATGGAAAAGGACAGAACCGTTACATGTGCAGTGAATGTGACGTTGGACTGTGCGTGGCTCCCTGCTTCAAACGATACCGCCCACAGAAACAGTTTTCAAAAAACAAAGAAAATAAGTGAGAAAAGTAAAACTATCCCTGTAAGAAGCTATGCAGACACATAGGGTTGTGAGACGTCGAGGCTCCTACATTTTCTAGAGGTTTTCAGCCTTATACGCCTGCGGCCGTTTTCCCCAGGAAGTTTCCTGGTAGTCATTTCTGTTAGAGGCTGAGACGACCACAGGACCATAGTGCGGCTGGAAGGACTGGGTCAATTGAAAACTCCAATAACCTCATCGGGGATCGAACCGGTGACCTTCCGGCTTGTAGCATAGTACATTAACCAACTACGCCGCCGCGTGCCCACAAAAAAGAAATGCACATAGCCGCACCATAGCTCAGATTGTTAGTCGCTGGTTTCCCACCTCGGCGGCCCGGGTTAGAACCCATGTCTGATAATGTGGGATTTGTGGTAAACGAAGTGGCGCTGAGGCAGGTTCTCTCCGAGTACTTCAGTTTCTCCTGCCAATCTTCATTTCACCAATTTATTCACAGTCACCGTCATCTCTCATCTGCGGTGTACCATAGGTCAGTATTGGCGGCAGTACCAAGTGAACTCAAGCCCACTAAGAATAACAATAAATAAGGAGTGTCCATAGTGTTGATAGTGCGTTATCGTGTTTCTTTCAACGTGGAAAGTTTCCATGAGGGATTTTTTATCCGAAATGAGAACTAAAATATAGTGTAAGAAGCTTGAATATCTCAGACTTTACTAAACCAGACTAACCTAGCCGGTGATTGAATAAGTGTTCACAACTCTTGCAAGAGACTGAGTCAGTCGGTGTGCTATTCGGTATTGTGAAACCTCTGTGATATCATGTTGGCGTCAGCTTAGTTATCGCAAATGACGGCCACTCGCAAATGACCTACAACCGTCTCAACAAACATTCGTGTGGGAGCGAGACTTTAACACAGGCCATCTCTAAATGAGAGGTTCCGTGATAGAAAGCACTCTTAATGACTTCCATGAAAAACCGTGTTACCCTTGTGAATTATTCGTTTTATATCCTACGTAAGTTTCTCAGTCCATCTTTTGAAAGAATGAATTATTTCAGAAAAAAGACAAACATGCATCCAATTAAGTTGCAGATGATTATTTCCTACGTCACATAATGAGCAATTTTGATGCAAAATGGAATACAATGTAAGCAGGAAGAATAATTGAGGCATTTTTATCGGCATTTCCATAAACAAATTTCGAAGAAAACAACTGAAATACAAACTTCTCATTAAAGCAATGCATCAAGGCATTAAAAGGCTGGAAAAACTTATGCTGTGGGGAACGTCTAGGAATTAAAATCATATTCTACAAGGGTTTAAGCGGGTTGTCATCTAGGGATGGCCTAGGATTTGTTGATGGGGGATCTTGTTTTGGTTGCTGTTAAATATTGTATACCAGCAGTTGCCTAGCACTGGCCAAATTTTCTTCTCCACGGACTAATAACTGTACAAGAAACCTCAACCTTAAATGAGGACTCCAAGTAAATGCGGGAATATAATTCTAATTATTCACGAAGACGTCGCATAATCGCATATCTGAACCAATTACGAAACCTTTCTTTCTATATATGTTACAGTTCACAATGTCCAATGCATTTTGGGTAAGGAGATGTTGGATTGGTATGAATGAAATGTTATGACTTTACAGGCACTGGTGAGAAACTTTCTGATTATACAACCCTCACCCTTTGTGTGTGTGTGTTTTTTTTTTTAACTGGGTCCAATATCACTACAATGGTATCCTTTGGAACGGATATGAGTGAAGTGATACTGAACCCAATTCAGAAAAAGAAAAAAGAACAAGCGAGTAAGAAACTCTGCAGCACAAGAAATATTTTTGCAGAATTATTTATTGCTATTCATGTGAACTGGTGGTTCTGACTGCATGAGAGATTGGGGGGGGGGGGCGCGTAGAATGGTACGGTAGCATTTTATTTTATTGATCATATTGTCGGTGCTTGTGGTCATTTCTCATTTAGTTAGGGTACGTCTGCGTAGAGATGGCATGAGTAATGCAACACGACGTTACCGCGATCATATTGCCCGAGTTCCCGGAGCGAGATGGCAGCTTTGGCATCTAGGAAGAAATACATAAGTTGTGGACATTCTTCAAGGAATCATAGGATCATTCGAAAGAAATTAGATTTCTTCATATTTGGATAAATTGCTAGAAGCTAACACAATTGTGGTTCGTGATATTCCGCTGTTGCAAATTGTGCTAGAGATTCTTTTGAACTCAGCGCCCATTATACATGTTTCTACGAGAATGAATATTTTTACAGTGTTTATACTCTTTCTCGCTTGTTACACATACCAGTCACACTAATAAAGGAAGGCAAGAACGTGAAGGTCTTGAGGGTCTGTGGTGAACAGGTTGAATTTGCATGGTTTACAAATGCGTAGTGAAAACTGTTTTGCAGTTCCGAGATATAAATCTGTAGATTATGTTTACCGTTTGTAGGATGTAACTCTGTGCAGTCCGGTAGCCTCTTAACGACGTTTGGAAGCAAGAGGTTCGCTCAAAATGAGTGAACCAACTGTCCTCAAAACTTGAGCAACAGTCTCTCAGACTGCACAATGGTTAATAAGATACCAAGCTTTATAGTCTCTGCTGTGAGAACAAAGAAATCCACAATAATATGTGTTTGTACACAATCATTAGTATGTTTTCTTACAGACTTGGACAAATATTTACGTCTAGGTACAGGTACACTTGTTAGAAATATTGATGCTGTATCACTAGGACTCTTGTAAATCAATTTATATGCAACCTACAAAACATCATGTGTGATAAAAAGAAGTTTCCAGGTTATGAAAGATTCTGCATTCTCTTGTAACAGGAATGGTAATAATTCTGCCAAACAGAGCTGAACAGATATTTCCTGCTGTGAGAGAGAGAATGGTGAGTGTTTTGTGCTTGTGTACACAGAAGAATTTTATTGTCATCTGTCAGTTCTCATAACCTAAAAAACTAAACATTTTATGCGAAGCTTTGTTAGTTTTCCTACTCCATCTGCGGAGTTCACTTGGTTCTTCACATTATAAGAGTTCGCTGTATTATGTGGGAGAGGGATCAATTCAAGGAGAGTGTTAATAGTTAGGTTATATAGTGCACATGTGAGAATGAGAAGTGTGTACAAAGATTTGGACAGAAGACCTGATAGAATGAGAACACTTGGGAAATATTTGTGCAGATGAATTTTAAAAATATAATTTTGTGGGGGTGGACTGGGTTTGTTTTTTTCAGGATTCAAAGTCATGAGGGACATGTGTGAACACTGTAATAAGCCGTTATGTACCATAGAGTGCAGATATTTTGTGTACTTCCAGAGGGAGCATAAGATTCTCGGGAAGGTTCCTGCATTATGAACTTAAACATTTTCAAAGATTTTAATTCTGGTTAGAAGAAACCTGTACAGAGCAGGTGTTATGGGTTAGATGTAATGAAAACCTGCTACAATAAGTGAGCATACATTATTTCATGTATAATGTTGTACAGCCATTACTGATAAAAGATATGATGGTTTTACAGAACTGTACAAATTCAGAGAATGTTTTAGTGGGTCCATGTGGTGAGACATACCCAGCAAGTCATGATGCAAACCAGGCCATGAATATAAAAGCTGAGAAAGTCTCAGACTCAGAAGAGGAAGTGGATCCTTTGAAAATAACAGTTCAGGATATAAAGGCTGAACCTGAGGTGAGCTGAATGTTTCTGTATGTCCACTGTTAGGCAGATATCACAAATATGCAGAAATGCCAGTTATCTTTCTCATCTCCATCTGTCTGTCTGTGCACATGAAACAACTCCACTGTGCTGCTGAGTGGCCTTTGAAGACTTTTTTCTGAAGTGTCTTTAGACAGTTATAGTTTTAATCTTCAAGTAATGTATCCTGTTCTGTTATTCTACACATTGTTTTGTTTTCTGCCTCAACACAACAACTGTCAGAATGTCATTCTCCTTTTACTGTGTATAATGAGTTTATTGGTCTTGTTGGATCAAATCATACCTCAAAAACAGGTATCAAAGAGTTTAAATAAATAATAAAAACTCCAGTCATAATGCATTTTCAAACTGGGGAATTATAAAGCATGGTGTTCCACAAGGATCAATTTTAGGTCCCTTACTTTTTCTTCTCTACATAAATGATCTATCTAAAACCATCAACAATAAATCTAAACCAATTCTATATGCAGATGACACTAGTATAATATTTAAGAACTCTAAATTTGAAAACTTTAAAAATGACATAAATATTGTATTTGAAGCCTTAAACAGATGGTTCGAAGCCAATTTACTCTCATTAAATTTTGATAAAACCCATTACATATCATTCACAACTAAAAACAACCACCAAATTGATCTGGACATCAGTTATGCCAACAAATTAATCTGTAAAGTACTTGATACAAAATTCCTTGGAATACATGTAGACAGTACACTGTCTTGGAAAATACATATTGAACAAATTATACCTAAATTAAATGCAGCTTGCTATGCGATGAGATCAATTAAGCCTTTTATGTCACAGGAAACATTGAAGATGGTTTACCATGCCTACTTTCATTCTATTATGAACTATGGATTAATATTTTGGGGGAACTCTTCACATAGTGTAATAATTTTTAAAATACAAAAGAATATAATTAGAATCATTACAGGATGTAGAAGTAGAGATTCATGTAGAGAATTATTTAAGAAATTAAAAATTCTACCTCTTCAATCGCAATACATATTATCGCTTCTCTTATTTGTTGTTTACAACAAAGATAAATTCAAATTAAATTCTGATGTCTATAACATGAATACTAGACAAAAATATAACTTCCACCTACCCTCATCAACTTTATCAGTATATCAAAAAGGAGTCTACTTTACTGGCATAAAAGTGTTCAACAATCTGCCACAAAGTATTAAAAACTTGGGCAGTGATACTAAAAAGTTTAAATCAGAGTTAAAGAATTATCTACATGCTCATTCTTTCTACTCTTTAGATGAATACTTCAATGTAAATAGAGAATGATGTAAAATTAAGTTATATTAATTTTTAAGCTAAAATTGCCTGTACTTATGTATGTAACCTTTTGACTTGTTCTGTATCCAAAGGTACTAACCTACTTAGGATTTATAGAATGTAAATAAATTCAATTCAATTCAGTAGTATGACAATGTGCTGCGTGTTTCAGCTTATGAAGCTGTCATCAGGCAGGATGCGTTAAATATTTTCAGACTATTGAAATGTGCTTTATATGAATTCATATATAATAATTATTACAAATGTACCTGATTTTCAAAATTAGTTAGTACATTCAACATTCATCTGAATTATAAGAGTCATGATGGGAAGTCATAATGTTTTCATTATCACCATGAGGAAGTCTTAATTCTAAAATATAGTTCTATATAGGAGATTTCCTGAGTTTGCTGAACAGTCAAATTTTCCCCTGCCAACTGGACAGAGGGAGCCACTGGAAAAGGCAGAAGCAAAATGGCAACATCAGTTGAGGAAGTGGAGGCTTGTGCTGTGATACAGTTCCTGCATTAGCGAGGGAAGTCTGCCAGGGAGACCCACGACCAGATGACCGCTCTGTATCGGGAAGGTGTACCATCATGTAACTCAGTGGTCAGGCGGAAGAGGCGCTTTCATTGTGGACAGACAAACGTTGAAAATGAACCCCAAAGTGAAAGATCATCTCTAGCTAAGGAACCGGAAATTTTGGCACAGGTGAAGCTTTGATTCTATCCGTTTAGTCATGGGTCGGTTTTCAGCATCATCCATGACAAAGGTTGCTGTGCGTTGGGTGCCACGATTGTTGACACCAGTTCCAAAACAGCGACAGATGTGGCAAAGAAACTTTTGCAGTTGTGTCAAGACAAAAAGGTGGAATTTTTTGACCACCTGATCATGATGGATGAATGTTGAGTCTTTCATTATGACCCAGAAACAAAGGAAATGAGCAAGCAGTGGAAACATGCAAACTCGCCACTACCAAAGAATGCCAGATCCCAGCTGTCATCGGGAAAGGTGATGTTGAGCATGTTCTGGGATTGGAGGAGTGTCATCATGACTGACTATGCGCAAAAAGGTCGTCACCATCACTGGCAAGTAATACTGGAACCTTCTGTGAAAATTACGGGAGGAAATGAAAAGAAAGTGAGGTGGAATGCTGGGAAAAGTTGTGCGACTTTTTGACGGCAACACACCGGCTCATGCTGCTCTGGCTACAAGGACACTTGCTGCCAGTTTGGGGTATGAAATTCTCCCCCATCCACCATATTCACCAGACCTGGCACCGAGCCACTTCTTCCTCTTACCACAGCTAAAGGAGCCACTTCGTGGTAACGATTCCAAGATGATAATGACATCATTTCTGCAGTGGAGGACTTCCTAAACAGTTAAAATGAGACCTTCTATGATCAAAGTATCCAGCAGCTAATGCATCGTTGGGGAAAATGTGTGGCCTTGCAGGGGCATATGTAGAGAAGGATTAACTCACAATTTCTATCATGTGTGTCTCTGTTTCGTCTGGGTGATAATTTAAATTTTATGACTTCCCCCATGTATACTAATTCAAATGAATGTTGAATGTATTAACTAATTTGAAAATCACATATGTGTAATACTTATTATATTGTAACATATGAATTTGTATAAAGTGCTGTTCAGTACTTTGAAAATGTTAGTTAATGTATACTGCCTGATGATGTCTTTATACGCCGCAACATGTAGCACATTGTCATAATATTAAGACCAATAAACTCATTATACACAGTAAAAGGTGAATGACATTCTGATAGTTGTTGTGTTGAGACAGAAAACAAAATGAAGTGTTGTTATAATCTGTTGAATGTTACTTGTGATATACCACTTCCATTTCCTTTTAAGCAGTTCTAATGTAGATGAAATTAACTGAACAGTGATTCAGAGAAATTCTATAGCAGCAGAAATCCTTATGGAGTTACAGAACTGTTCAGTTATTTACTGGTACACTTACTAGAACTAAGAATTTAAATTAGTAGGACTCTTGTGAGCTAATTCCAATGTACAACACAGAATATAATGTGATAAACAAGTTTCAAGTTTATGAAAGATTCTGCATTCTCTTGCAACAAGAGTGCCAAGAATTGTACTGTATAGAGCTGAAGAAACATTTTGTGCCGTGAGAAATGAAGTTTCATGCTTGTGTGCACAGAAGAATTTCATTTTCATGTGTCAGTTGTCTTGACCATAGAAACTACATATTTTGTGACACACTTCTGTTTGTTTGCATAATCCATCCAGGGAATTTCTTACACTTGGATGTAGACATTTTAACACTTTGATATATCGTGTAGGAGAGTGATGTGGATAAGTCACATAGCACGCATGCAGGAGTGAGAAATGCATACAAAGTTTTCGATGGAAAACCTGAGAGAAGCAGACCACTTGGGAGACCTAGGTGTGGATGGAGAGATACTATTAAGATAGATTTTAAAGAAATAATTTGGGAGTGTTTGTACTGGGTCTGTTTGCCTTAGGATACAGAGCCGTAATGAGCACGTGTGACCACAGTAATGAGCCCTTAGGTACTATGACTAACTCCATGGAGCTGAGTGAGTCCTTGAGAAGCCATCAGATGCTTGGCTACTGAACAATTTCCCAAAATTGTACTGAACCTGAAAGTTTATTAACATGTTCGCAAGAACCCGTTACAGGTACCTATCCTGAGCCATATCAATCCAGTCCACACCACCCCATCCTATGTCACTTTAATAGTTCGCAGACCAGCAATTTAAATATTTATATCTCCCTGGGGACCAGCAATTTTAAACCTACTGCCCTAACTTGTGCACTTTTCACTTTACAAATTAATATAAAATCTAATTAATTTTATGAACTCAAATTTTGGAGAACACTTACCAGTGCTCCTAGAAGTGCTTGAGAGTGTGATATTTCTGGAAACATTCCCCTTTGTGAAGTGACATAACACAGAACTTGCACATGTAGACAGTCCTACTCTTTTTGTTGTGTACTGCACAAACATGGCATTGCCTAGAAGGCTGCTTCCCCTTGGCATGTTCACTCTTCACAATTTTCACGTGGGTATGTTTCGACATATCACCCAAGAGTCGCCGAGGGGGGTCTACATGAAGCCTGCGTGCAGTGGGAGTTGATGGACTCAGTCGCACTAAGTCTGTGTCTGCCACCGTGTGGTATGTAGCCCAGGCTTTTGCCACATTCAGCAAAAATGCCTTGTATTTCAATTTCGAATGAGGGTTTAGATTTTTGAAAACCAAAAATGAAGTGAAAAGGGCACAATATATAAGCCACAAGGCAACATTCTTTGTCCACTTTACTGTTTTCCGAGGAAGAGAATAATAGGCCAAGTACTGATCTGCTCTGTCAGCTGCCTTCATGAACATATTATACTCGGAAATACAAACAGGCTTCTTTACCTGTCCACTTCTCCTTTGAACATAAACCATGCTCGAATTGTAAATTATGGAAATCATATTCACAACATGAATATCCCTCCAGGACTGAAGAAGAATATCCCACTTCCTCCTGAATGTGGTTTCACCACGTTTCAGGGATTTACATTCCCTTTCAGATCTGGTGGAAGGCCTCTGTTCACCCTAATTTTTCCACCAACATGTACCTTTCTTGAAAATAGGTGTTCTGCAGTTGCACACTGTTATAATAATTGTCTTGATAGACATGGTAATTTTGATCAAGATGGGGTTACAAAACGGAAAGAATAGTATCTTGTAATTTCTTTCCTTCACCAGAATAAATTTATAAATTTCCAATGTAGCCTGAAGTGCTTTCAGTAACTACTTGAACAAGTAGGCCATACTTTGTAAGTTTCCCAGGATTATATGTTCGCATACGAAGCCTTCCCCTCCAAGGAATCGCAGATTCGTCCAAAGACAGTTGTTGGTTTGGCTTATAAACTGTCTGAAATTTCTGAACAAAAAAGTTCAATAAGGGCTGAATTTTGAAAAGCCTGCTTGTTGATTGTGGTTGCAGTTCATTATCATTGAAATGCAAACACCAAATTTGCTCAAATCTCTTACGGCTCATTAGTTTGCCAAAAATTGGAATTGGAAAATTGGATATGTTGACCAATACTCTTTCAGATTATCCCTCCTTGTATGGCCCAATAGAAAGATTTATTGCAAAAAATTTTCTTTCTTTGCTGAAGTGAACTCCAGCCACTTCACTGCCTTATAACTTCTGTTATACTGTTCACGGGGTTGGAGATAGTATCTGTTAGTTTCATGACATAGCATGTCAAAGAAACTATCTCCAAAAAAGAGTTCTGCTACTTCAGACACTTGCGTTGGGTCCGATGGAATTTGTTCACCCCTGGATTTCCAGTAAACTGTCCAAAATTAGGCATTTTGTTTACTTTCCCCATGTGGCTGTCCCCGCAATGTTGCTATCCACACTTTCATCAGAGCTACTGTCACTTTCACTTTCACTTTCACTGTCTGTGGCCACAATTTTTTGTTCACCCCTGCCACACTCACTATCAGATTGTGAGTCACTATCACTAGCAGACTCACAAGGGATGTCAGATAGCTCATTGGAGAACAAGTCAGTTATTTCTTGTTCTCCGAGAAAAAGCTTGGACCTCAACCTCTTCCGGCCTAATTCCATTTTGCACTAGTAACTTCCTGCCTGGTGCATGCAGCTGCAAGATGAACAAAGGCATTTTCTTTTGGAGTGGGAAAGGAAAACA